ACAGCTATAAATATCAGCAATAAAGAAGAAAAGGACATTGGTGGGATGAGTGTAAGGGGAGTTTGGTTGACTACTATATTTTCCAGTGGCTGATATCAATATTTTAATAATGGTTAGCATAGAGTCATGTAAATAACTATTCTATTACAGGTTGTATTTAGACACAGCACAGGTCATTAGTCAGTTTCAGACATAGATGAGCTCTCTTATGGTCTTTGCCACTCCACAGTCCTTGAACCCCTAAACAATAAAAAAAACACGAACCACAAGATTGGTTGCACATCAATACTGTATTTACACTTTGTCTATTGTAACAACTACACATACAAGGAGAAAAAAACATATTTAACAGTACAGTGGTTATTGCCACTAATTTGAGGTAGGATGGCATAACCTCTGATGCAAAACATTAGGCTCCATATACAGTACACCCCTCTTTCTCCAGTACCTCTCTAAAAACTGGACATAAAAACTTTAGGCCTCAGATCAGACTTACCACCTTCCTGAAATTTGTGACTTGCCCATGGTCGTGAAGTACTTCTCATTTCAGCAACTGGTATTTTTGTAAGACAGTACTCTCATTTGAAAAAAAAAACATGCTCTGCATAATAATATTATATGGTTTAACTAGAAATTGCAACTCTTCAGCAACATTATCTATTGTTGTGGTTAGTACTACTATTACAAAGAAGGTTGAAGGAAGTGTTGATGGTTTTTAAATATTTCTACCAAAGCTAACCCACATTAGATTGTGAGATCGTAAATACTTCTAAAATCAATAAGAAATATGTTGGCACTATAATAATAATTAATAAGATAAAACCATGTTTTGCATGCAATATTAATGATGCTGTGTAAGGAAGAGCAATAATCCATACAGGGACAGAGTCATGACAGGGGCCTCTGCCGCCTTTGCAACAACAAAAGTAGCCACCTTCCAGAAGGAAAGACAGTGTAAGCATGAGTTCAGAGATAAATTCAGAATCTACTGCAAAATTATGCACAAATAAGGTACATTTTTGTTAATAAGGTACTTAAATGCATTTTATGATGTGACTCCTGAGTTTAGTGTCACTTTATTTAAAACACAGCAAGTGAGGAGAGCTAGCTCCACTCATCTTCTCAGCTCCTGGGCAATAGCAGTGTGTACAGTAGGTCAAGTAACTAGGGTTGCCACTCGTCCTGTATATTACTGGATTGTCCCAGATTTCAAACTTAAATGCTGGGTCCCATATTCATTCAATAAGGCAGGCAAGTAGTCCAGTTTTTTCATTTACCTTCCTTCCCCCCTCTCATTCCCCTCAAGTATCTTTCACTTCTCCTGATATGTATTCTATCGTCAAACTGTGCACTGCTCTTGTCGCACTGCCCGACTGAAAGCAGCGTCCCACCTACTGTCTATCAACATACTGTGCTCCACTGTTGTGGATTCTGATGTGAAGGGGGATCCTGGTGTGAAGTGGGTACTCTGATGTAAAGGGAGGACTTCCTTTGCACAGCCAAGGAGAGGGTGACTTCATCATCCAGTGCAGATGTCAGTGTCCTTCAGCCCATTAAATACAATTCAACTATTAGCTCCACCCCCTACTTCAACTTCTGCCCCTTATTTTGCCAGAACATTCTGACTCTCAGCCATCCTATAGCAGTGAGAATCACAAGGGTTCAGCCCAGGCATATGCAGATGAAAGGGTTCCATAACATTGGTGAGAGATAGAGAACACTTTCACCTGGTCATGTTCGCAAAGTGTGCAGTGCAGTAATCTGTCAACACTTCCTGTCCAGGCCCTGCCCACCAACAGACTCCACCCACATGCTCTTCCCACAGCCAGTCTTTCTAATCTCTGCCTCTGACCATTTCTTTTGGCAGAGAGTTAGAGTTAAAGCCTTTTCATCAATTAACAGGAGACGACTCCCCCTGACTTTACAAAGCTTTACATTGTGCATGTAGCCATATAATTCAATGCAGATTAGCATTAAGCAAAACATTCATCTAGATTCTAGAGCTGAACCATGGATTTGTTCAGAGCCCCCATATGTGGCTCTGCAGAATGCAGCAAATTCTTCTGCTCAGCCCCCTTTATTCTCCCCTTGCTCCTAAATAAGGATAAGCTCTGCGCACTTCTTCAATATCACTTCCATCCCTCACTTCACTTTATCTTTCTTCAATGTCAGGTGCTGGAACTCTGTGCACTCCATCCCTGCCACTCTGCAGAGTTACAAGGCCAGAGTAGCCCTATTAAGGGGACCCTTTTAGAAAAATGGGGGAAAGGGCAAATGCTCAGTCACCCACTTCCTTCCTCCATTTCACAGTGCTGCATTTGCCTACCTACAACTTTCTCTCTTTTGGTCTTATGGTAAATATGGTCCAGGTCTCAGTGCATAAGGAGATCTATATATAAGCTGTTAAATTTAACTTGGCTTCTGTGATCACAGGAATTAATTTAACCCTGCACCTCCCTTTTGTGTGTGCATGTGTGGGGGTGCAAGTGACTTCTATCCAAACTGGCCCTAGTGTAGTAGGGACATTGGGTTGCGAGTTCCTAGACCTATATACTAGTGCTAGATAAATTAATAAGATAAAATATATGTTGTATACAATATTAAAGAATCTGTCCCATGGACAATGGGCTAGGGAAGAACAATAGTGCATACCATTCTGTTTTCTTTCATGCCTATATCCTGTATTATCCTGGTAGTTTTGGGAACAGGAGATCCATTACCACATATAAGTGTTGTTTGTGCAACTCCTTCATCACATTTCTTCCTGTATAGTGGCAAAAAAGGTAAAGGATTTGTCACATATGAGAGGAAGCTAATGTGCAAGTGGATTAAAGTTAAGCTATACTCAAATATAAAAAAAAAAGTATAGCTGTAGTCAAACTGATCTTAGTAAAATGCACCGGACACAAACAGCAGACTCCAGTTGCCTGCATGTAGTTTAATCTTTTTTTTTTAATAATGCCCATGGAAGCCCTAAAACTTTGGGTGCTTTTTATACAAATATTGATGACTTAACCTAGAAACACGGCACTTTGGCCTGTCCCTCCTGTCTCTCTAAAAGGGACACTAAACTCAGGAGTTAAATCTTAAAAATGCATTTAAGTAACTTAACTATTAACAAAAATGTATCTTATTTGTGTATCACCCAGCTGTAGATCCTCAAATCATCTCTGAATTGGTGCTGACGCTGTCCTTCCTTCTGGAGGGTGATTACTTTTGTTCCCTATGGTGCCTGTGTGTGTTGTAAAGTAGCCACCCTCCAAGCTCACTCCCGCGATAGACTACAATCTCACGTTTAGTTTACTAATTTATATTGAGATTGCAGTCCATCACAGGAGTAAGATTGGAGCGGAAGGAAGGACAATGTCAGCATGGATTCACAGATGATTTCAGGAACATCAGCTGAGTGATGCACAAATAAGCTACATTTTATAACAGTTAGGTACTTGAATGCATTTTTAAGGGTTTACTGCTGTGTTTAGTATCACTTTAAGGCTTATAAAGATAAACCTTGGTAGCATATGTAATAACAATAACGCTGATTACTGGTATCTTTGCAGGTGCTGGCGAGTCTGGAAAGAGTACCATCGTCAAGCAGATGAAGTAAGTGAACACGAATTTAACTACATTGCATCATTCTAATGTGCTGTAACATTAATTGTTTAACTTGAATTCCTTTAATTCATCCTTTTTTTTTTGCTATGTTCCTTTTGTTTTGTAAGAATCATCCATCAAGCGGGATACAACGAGGAAGAATGTTTGGAGTTCAAATCAATTATCTATGGCAACGTGCTTCAGTCAATCCTAGCCATAATCCGTGCAATGTCCACCCTTGGCATTGACTACAGTGACACAAGTAAAGCGGTTAGTGTGAACTAGGAAATACTTTAAGGTGGCCAAATGAATAATGAAGTTTACCTTGAGATCAGGTCCAGGTATATATACAATGTATTTGAATTTACACACACAACTGTAGTTGCATGCTTCCTATAGCAGAGCTGCTAAATGCGGGGTTCACATTTATATGTTGGACTTGCTGTCCATTGCTTTATGTGAGGCTGCTATAGTTGTGCCATATCCGTTGGTTTTCAAATTCATGCAACTGTTTTCAGGTAATTCCACATGGTGTCAATTCACAAAGCACAAGTGTTTTCTTTTATTATTATTATTTAATCTTATGATAGTGTTTGCATCAAAATGTTCAATTCGCAAAAAAAAATATTACATTTGCGTGAAATAGTCATATTTCCATTTCAGTAGTGAAAACTTTTGAATGAAAAATGTCTGTGTTTGCTAAATGGGTATTACTGTTTGGTCCACTGTAAATGACCAAATACAATGTGGCCACGCTGTACTTGAAAGAAAGAAAAAAATGTCCTACGTTGGTCATGTGCTAAGTCTAGTGTTGTGGATATTCCAAGCTTAAGACATATTGAGCATAAGTGGTGGGTGGGCTACTCACTTTTAAAGACACTATACATCCTTACAAATGTACAAGCTCTTATAAATGTTGCCTCTGGTTTAAACTATACCATGTCTATGCTAGATGGTTTGCTTTAGGACCAACGTAAAGCATTTAGAAACTATATTATGCAACACAATGCAGTGGCAACATGTTGGATGTTTGCAAACTGCTGGAAAGGCAGGTCATCCTGTAGCACCAGTATAATAATTGACTCAATTTGCAAGTTTTAGGAATCAGAACACCAATATTTTGCTTTTTTTTGTTTGTTTTTTTCCTAACAGGATGATGGTCGTATGCTTTGCCACCTCGCCGACTCAATAGAGGAAGGCACAATGCCTCCAGAACTTGTGGATGTGATCAAGAGCCTCTGGAAAGATGATGGCGTACAGGCCTCTTTTGAAAGAGCAGCTGAATATCAGCTCAATGACTCTGCTCCATAGTGAGTTGAACACGAGGGGCATAGAAAAGGCAAATAGTGTATAAAAGAGTATTTTGCTGGCACATGGATTGGATGATGAAAATCAGCAGAGCTTCACCTCATTCACTATGCTAAGGGGAAATTCCCTTGCAAATTGACAGTCTTTTGGGCTTTAGTAAATCAATTGCCAAATCTGTAGAAAAAAAATAAATAAAAAAGACCACACAGAATAGGTTGTGAAATGGGGAAGTGACTGTGCCATAAAGTAAGATGTATGGAAGCAGTGCCACATAATCCATAAATTCACAGGGCAAAGTGTTCCTTGAATGATACGCAGCAGAACTCATAAGATGCTATGAGTGATTTTCTGAGGCCAGGTTCACACCGGTGCAACTCCTGACCGCGCAGCAATCATGCATAAAAACGTGCAGATTGCTAAAGTACTATTAATTTGTGAAGAGTAGGGAGTGATAACCTTCTGCTCTTGCTTGTGTATACTAACCAGTTTGGTACCCAAGCTGGAATTAATGTTTAATAGCAATAATAAAGGTTTATTCCTTATTATCTTATATCAAACAAAAACAAAAAGTTTTATTGTCATGATTCGTGTAGAAATCTCTGCTTATGTACTTGAATCCATTGGCATCATGGACAGAGCACATGCCACTTCTTTCTGCTCATTTTAAGTAGGCATCTGCTTAAAATGAAGGGGTATTAGCATGCAGAACCACTAACTAATGCATACATTTACATGTGAGCAACAATTCACACACAAACATAGAGTTAAGAGGAAATGAAAAAGGAATTTGAGAAAATTAAATAAAACTGCTTCCCTTTTTGCAGTTTAATGTATTTCACCTAAAATGCTTACACTGTATGCAGTCAGGTTTTACAACTGGTTTATCCTTTCCAAAAGAATCTGAATGCTAGAAACTGCTACACAATACCCGTGTGCAATAGTACCCGGCCCTTGGATAAAGAAGGACACTATGTTTTCACTGCACAACACCTCTACTGTTGTTTTTTTATCATGATTTTTTGTTTGTTTTTATTACTAGTTACTTAAATCAGCTGGATAGGATCACAGCATCTAATTATATTCCGAATGAACAAGATGTCCTCCGATCCAGAGTGAAAACTACAGGAATCATTGAGTCACAGTTCTCCTTTAAAGATCTTCATTTCAGGTTTTTTTTCTCTCTCTCTTTCTTTTTTTTACACCTTTCATAACCCATTACACAAAGAAATCACAACTAAAACAGACTGGGGCTTACCTGAAAAAAAAATGCTTGTTTTATTTTGCACTAGAAAATGGGGCAACAAGCACCACTAGTTTCATTTTCACCTATGTTTAAAAAACAGCTCCACTAACCATTTGCGGATGTCATATAAACTTAAAAGTAAGCCCTTTGTAATATGTAGGCTGCAATTGCAGTTATCCTTGTTAAAATGCTAGTTTTCTGTCATGAAGACCCTCTACTTTCAAAGCTTTCTAAGTTACTGACATGGAACACGATGGCACATCAGGAAAGTCAGATTGTATATGTATTCTGGGTCAGTGATCCACAATATTGAAGCAAGAGGAGGTTGTGGGGGTCTGCGGGCAGGGGGGCTTATAGGAATCTGGGTGCCCCTTTCATAAAGTGGGTACCCAGATCCTGCTCCCCTCGTGAATGAGTAAGGAGTAGTTGTTACCCTTACTCATTCACCAAATAAACAGTAACATTGTAAATAAACACACATTTTTGACAAGTCTTTTATTAAAAAAAAAATGTCCATCAATGTAATCCCAAGGTCAATCACGTCATCCAGCGATGTAGATCCCCGTCAATCATGATGAACAACAACCACCGACTCTTCGAAAGAAAAAATACCCGACGCCCACCAATACTGACGAACTCTCGCCACAAAATGACAGTACTGACCTGAATGTCAACAAAGGGGCGGAGTGAGTCATGATGTCAGAGCGAAGAGTGACATCACTGGTCTTTTTCCGCCCCTTTGTTGACATTCGGGAGCAGAGCTGCCATAATGACAGCGCTGCTCCCGAATGTCAACATAGGGCCGGAGCAAGTTGGGAGGATATGATAAAATAATATGCACAATACTGACCGATATCATATAATGCTCTGTAACCAGAAAAAGTGCATATAGTGCTTGATAGCATAAGTTGGGCAATAGTTTGCCTGATCCAGCGTGTAAGAACAGCAGTTCCTATTATGATTCCCTTATGTGGGCCCTCTACAACCACAAACAGCAAATCTGACCTGTAAAACTGAGACGTGACATTCAAATACACCCTAAAGACTGTAAACCAATTTCCCTAGGATAGACTGGCTTGGGACAAAGCAGCAGGAGGACAATGTCTTAATTCAAGAGAAATGTCAAATACCACATTAGGCAGAAAAGGAGAGTCTAGGATTTGCAATGACCTTACCCCTTTTGAAGGACCAAAAATGGAGGCTTGCAATTTCTCCAGTTCGAAGACTCTATGCATGGAAGTAATGGCTATTAGGTACACCAATGTGTGTTAGCAGCAAAATCTCCTTAGTATCCCTAAAAGGTGCTTTTTTGCAACACCAACAATACCAGGTTAAGGTTCAATGGTGGCCAAACTGTAAGGGCAATGTGTGTAACGCCCTAAATAAAGGTGCAGACAAGTGGCACCAATGCCAGAGAATGCCCACATAAGACCACAAGTGTTGACGCCTGAAATGTAATTGTGCTTAAGGCAAGCTGCTGCTCTTACTGCAACTTGCCGGGGTGGTTTTGAGCATAAGGATATGCTTTGAAGGCTGCTACCACAAGACCCAAAATTCTCATGAAGTGGTGAATGGAGAACCACCTGCGAGTACACAGTAGGTGAACCTAAAATTTTAGTTTCTGCAGTTTTTCCAAAGGGAGGAATACCTTCCAGGTGAAGTGACTGAATCAGCAAGGACTTAAAATAAATTTTAAAAAACAAAAACATTCTCCTCCAGAGTCAGAATGGTAATGAGCATGTTGGATTCTTGTACTGAGTAAGACTCCACATGCAATAGAAGATTGTCCAGGTAACCCATCTGCCTTGACCTCAAGACTGCTAAAATAGGCACCAATGTTTTGGTGAACACTCAAGGAGCCATGGCTAAGCTAAAGGGCGAGGCCACAAACTGGTAATGCTCCTCCCCTACCGCGAAGCACAAGAACCGCTGATGCCCGTGTTAAATGGTACATTGAGGCTTGCCTACTTGATATCGATGGATGTCCAAAAGTCCCCCAAAAACACCACCGAGAAAAGAGCCTTTCCTCCTTCACTGCAAACACCAGGTCCAGTCTCTTCTGCAGAAGCTGCTGGCTGTCACTGACACGGCTCAGCGGCAGATGCGAGGAAGAACGCGCCGCTGCACACATCAATGACAGGTTTCAGTGATCAGCGGCGCGTTCCTCTTGACAGCCAGCACCCTGATATGTCATGGCGGCCCGCATGGCATCAGAGGGATGCCCTGGCCGGGCCCCATAGCGGCTGCCTGGGTCGCTATGGCGATTGTTACGCCACTGTTTGAAATCACATTAACATGCTAAGGATTACATGAGATTTTAGTGATTGGGTTTACATAAACTTTAAAAAATAGGACCACTTAATATGATACAGTATGTTCAAGCAAGATTCAAAAAAATCAAGCTGTATTCCACCAATTAAAATCACTAGTGTTTTCTTTTTTTAGGATGTTTGATGTAGGAGGACAGAGGTCAGAGCGCAAGAAGTGGATTCACTGCTTTGAAGGAGTTACCTGCATTATATTTTGTGGTGCATTAAGTGCTTATGACATGGTTCTGGTGGAGGATGAGGAAGTGGTATGTATGAACTAATGCAATGCAGTAAAATATATCCAAAATGTTCTAGTTACTGAAATGATGCATTCCCCATAATGATGCTCCCCACCCCTAACTTCATGTGTGTGCTGTTTTTCCATGTTTTCTGTAACCCTTCATTACTTTAAAGCTGAATTCTGGGCCAATACACTTTTGTTTAAATACTGTATATTCCTCAACAGCTACAAAGGATATACATCTACTTTATGTGCACCAAATGCCTTTGCAAATCCAGTTATTGTCTTATAAAAGTAGCAGTGACCTCATCCCTGGGCAGCCTGTGCAGAGAAAAGAGCTTTGGGAGGGACCCAGGAGGCCCACCCATTACAGGCTGCCTGCAGAGGACTACAGGGAGCAGATACAAGACCAGTCTTGCTGCACAAGAAGAGAGAGCTGCAGTGACTGGTCTTAATTACAGGACACTCCTGCACAAAGGCAACATTTCATGCTGGATTACAGCAAAGATCTGAAAGAAATACACAAAACACAAAAGATTCAGGTAAGTATACACATGCCTCTTGTACTGTATTTAGAAAATATATTTGTTTGTCCCAGATTTCAGCTTAAAAGTGTATCTAAACCCAAAACAAAATGTTATTATATTGTAGGTTACCAGTATGTATGTGTGGTGGCTGCATTACTTTTCTTTTTAGCTTTCTCCCCATTATTTACACCTGGTGATCCTGTCAGTAACGCACTTCCTGTCCTAGGTTGACACTTCAACATACTGTATCTGTGGAGAAGCAGTGTTGCCACCCAGAGGCGGCTCTAGAGTTTGCGAGGCCTTAGGCAAAACCTAAACTTGAGGCCCCACTCAGGCCTGTGGGGTCTTACCAGGGCTCTGTGGGGTTTAACCAGGCTGGTGAGACCCCGCAGAGCCCTGGTGAGACCCCACAGAGCCCTGAATAAATTAGGGCTCTGTAGGGTTTTACCAGAGCTCTGTGCTGTTTGACCAGTCCGGTTAGACCCCTCAGTGCCCTGGTGAGACCCCAAAGAGCCCTAGTTAAACTAGGGCCTTGTGGGGGTCTCAGCAGGGCTCTGTGGGGGTCTCACCAGTCTTGGTGAAACCCCAAGACTGGTGAGACTGTGGGGTCTCACTAGGGCTCTGTGGGGTCTTGCCAGGGCTCTGTGGGGTCTAACCAGTTGGGTTAGACCCCACAGAGCCCTGGTCAAATCCCAAAGAGCCCACCAGGGTAGGGTCCCAACATGGTTCTGTGGGGTTAAACCAGGGCTGGTGAAACCCCACAGAGCCCTGGTGAGACCCCCAAAGTGCACTGGTGAGACCCCACACTGGCCCGGTTAAACCAAGGCTCTGTAGGGTCTCACCAGCACCAGGGCTTTGTAGGGTCTCATCACTAGCCTGGTTAGTCCCCTCAGAGCCCTGGTGAGACCCCAAAGAGCCCTAGTGAGACCTCAAGAAGCACTGGTAAAACCAGTGCTCCGTAGGGTCTCACCAGGACTCTGTAGGGTCCCACCAGCACCAGGGATCCGTAAAGCTCTCTAGGGTCTCACCAGGGCTCTTTGGGGTCTCACTAGAGCATCAAGGCTCTGTGGAGCCTCACCAAGGTTCTGGGGAGTCTAACCAGCCTTGTTAGACCCACAGAGCCCCGGGCAGACCCCACAGAGCTCTGGACCACCCTTGGACAGGACTACATAAATCTTGTCTTCTCCTCTTCTCCATAACATAGATGGAGAAGCCGCACATGAAGTTTTCAACTGATAAGATTTCTGGCATGATCAACAGTTTTTTTTTTTTTTTTTACAGTTTTTGAACAAATGTAACTAAAGCCTTTAAATGGTATATTTAGCAGATCAAAAAGGAACCAAATGAGGCCTAGTTCACACCTAAGCACACACATTTCCATGCAAGTCAATAAAGGTCATTGTTAAAGAGTTTCTAAACCCTCCGGTTTTTTTGCCTATATGTACTGCTAGCAAGCAGTACATATAGGCAAAAAGTTGAGAGAGAAAAAAATCCGAAACTGTTTGGCGGCCGCAATGCATCTTGGGGCGGGCGCATGCGCAGTTCGGATTTTCGGACGGGAGACGAGCAGAGACGCAAGGTAAGTCTATGGACGCGTGCACCCGCATGCAGACACCGTAGGACAGGAAGTGCCAGCAAGGACAGAGGAGTCAGCGCTGGATCGGAGAGACGCCGCACCGCTGGAGGGACAGCTGAAATGGACAGGAAAGATCGGATTAGGAGACATCATTTAAGGTAAGTGCTGACATTAACATTGGGGGAAGCCCGGTGAGGGGCGGGCTTTCGATGACCGCAATGCTGAACGGGCAGTGTGCGCTTGCGCACACCAGCCCGTGGGGCAGTTATCTTACGAACATGCCACACACCCGCCGACAATCTTACGATTCTCGGCGGGTTTTCGTGCAACCTTACAGTAGCAGAAGTCGCACACCTTGCGATAATCGTACGATCGCGGGATTTCCCACAATTATCGTACGATTATTGCAAGGTGTGTGGGCACCTTAAGAATCTAGGCATCAACAGCAATGCCCTTAAAGCCAGTAACCGTGAAACAGGGTGCAAATTGGTCCTTGGGACAAAAAATCCCAATGAGCGGACAGTGCTCATGGAGAGTCAGCCAGAAGTCTTACCAGGTCAGTGTACCACATCTGCCTGGTCCAGGTCAGAGGAATGAGGAGCATTGGAATGTCCTCTTTATTGATTATGCCAAACAAACGAGGAAGAACTTTCAGATAGGAAAGGCATAGTACGGATTCCATGGAGCCACCAGAGCATTCACTGCTTCTGCTCAAAGATTCCTGTACCTGAAGACAAATCTGTCCATTTGTTGTTGAACCTGGAGGTCCACATATGGCACCCCCACCTGCAACACAGATCCTGGAACACCTCTGGGTAAAGGGAGCACTCCCTTAAATCCAAGCACTGCTGGCTGAAGAAATCTGCCTGCAAATTGGCTGCACCGGAAATGTACATTGCTGACAAGGCTGGAAGTTCTGCCAGGACAGCAGCACATGAGTCTGAGACGAGAGAGTCTGAAGATATCCCTGTGGAAGGAACACTTTGTACTGAGCGAGGTCCAGCACTAGACCCAGGTCCTCCAAACAATGAGACCGTTTCAGGGACAATTTTTGAAGGTTCAAGACCTACATATGTTGTCTGATAGACTACCTCCAGTTGAGGAACAGCCAGGGTGGGCTCTAATTGTCCCATAATGGTGATGCCACGAGAGTACAGTAGGGCTAATACTGGGGCCAGCACCTTAGTGTATAGCAAAGGTGTAGATAAAGTACCAAGAGGCAGAGGCCCTAGAGCAAAGCACAAGAACTGCTGATGCACTGGAAAGATTGGGACATAAAGGTATGTTTAGGACATAGGAATTTGGCAATAACACTTTGATATAGGGGACCTGAGAGGGCTCGATGGAGATCTCCTAATCTGTGCAGTAACACAGGAAGGATGGAGTTAAGAAGCCAAGGAGGGAGCAAAGCTCCAGGTTGTAGTCCTGAGATACCAGCTCTTGTACCCAAGTGTCTGAGATGCAAGCTGTCCAAGTGTCCACAAAGATTAACAAACATTCCACAACTGTGGAAGATGGTGGTGCACCTTCATGCCGAGGAAGGTTTGTCTCAGAATTAGGCAGTCTGAGTGCAAGACCTTGCAGGTGGACTAGTAGCCAGGCATGGGGGGTCTCAACAACTGGTTGAAGGTTTAAGGAAGTAGAGAAATGAAAGGAATGTTTCCTAACAGCCAAAGTGGAAGAATACTTCACAGTCTGTTCTTTAGACTTGTTCAGCTGAGGCACATGGGTGCTCTTCCCACCAGTGGCAACCTTCACAATTTTATCAAGAGCCAGGTAGAACAGATGTTGCCCCTTGAAACCCATGCAGATAAAACTTTTTCTCTTTTCTTTTTGAACTAAGAAAAAGGGGGGCCAAAACAGTTTTACAATCTTGAAGTGGCATTAACTTTTTTTGCCCCTTCCCAATCCTGCTCTAGGGACCTGAAATGATGCCTCCAGCGCTGACTTCTCTGTCGTCCTCTTTGACGTCCCATGGAGTTTGTGCCGGTGCCCGCTGCTCCATAGACTTACCTTGTGTCTCTCCTCATCTCCCGGCCGAACATCTGAACTGTGCATGCACCCACCCCAAGATCCTTTGCGGCCGCCCGAGACTCTTCAGATGTTCGGACGGGAGCGCGCAGCGAAGACGCAGGTAAGTTTAAACCCTTTTTAAAAGTATAAAAAAATAAATGTTTTTGCATATATCTACTGCTTGCTAGTAGTAGATATATGCAAACACCACTGAGGGTGTAATAACCCTTTAAGGTGCTAACATCGCTAAAACTATTAGATCGAGAAAAAAAAGTCTTTGAATATAGCACCCAAGTCGATTGCAAAAAAAAAATTGTATAAAAAATAACAAATTTTATTAAAATTCAAGATAAATTTTAAAACCAATAGATTTACAATATATAGTTAGAGCTTAAGATAACTTTATTATCATGCTAGAACATCAACACATTCCTTGGATTTTATCTGCTTCTTCCGGATAGTTAGAGAATAATTGCTCAAAGTGTCACTTATATAGCGTGTATATTTGTCTGAAAAATTATATCTACGGTAATTATAGTCTCTTATTGCAAAACATGGATGAACAATTTAAAAAAACATTCTTACAAATGTATATAATTACTACTGTATATATTGTATATCTATTTTAATATGTCAAATTTTTATATTCTGTAATATAATTTGTTAATTTGTACACAAATCTTTTTGTGCAATCAATCTTTCGTGGGTGCAATATTCAAAGTCCCCTGTTTCTTCTCGATAGTTTTAACCACAGCAGTGGTTAGATCTCTTTTTAAGGAATTTTGATGAATCAGACAAAATTAAACAAAGTTTAGTCACAGACAGGATCAGATGAAAGGAAGGACTTGCCAGAAAAAACAATAGAGAGGGCTTCCAGCCGCTTATCGGTTGAAGACAGGCATGTGCTCTGGAATAGTAAGCGTCTTTGCAAGGTGGATTCACAGTGGGAATGGACCCCTTCTGTACAAAATACCCACTAAAAAGATTCAGGTGCTTGGGAAGAGCAAATAACCTATTATGATGCTCCTAATCTCCATAGAGAAATCAGATGAAAAACAAGTTCAAAGGGAAACTCTTTGCGGCCTTAGGAGTTTTAAATGTCTTAAGGCTGGAAACCTCACTGATAGAAGCAACAGGCTAATCCTCTGGTTTCACAGTGGTGCGCACTGAATCAATAAGCACCAAAATAGTCTCCATTAACTTGGGAGTAATAGCAGTAGACTGCGACTCCTCATAGTTAGGTCAAGGATTGGAGTAGCAGCTCAGAATCAGAGTCTCTGCGGCCCATGGCTCAGTAGCCATCACGGCTGCAGGCATAACAGATAGATATTTGTGACAGGGGGCGCGAGAGTGTACCTGTGGCCCCTGCAATCAAAGTCAGTAAACAGCTGATTAGGGCCAAAAAGTCTTGCATGACCATAATAAAGGCCTTAGCTGAAAGGACAGATATTATGGGAAAAAGAGCAGAGCACACGTGATATTCCAACCCCGTGGATGACGTCAGTGCCAACTACTTTTGTGGCAAATAATGCTCCAAGCGACTTATGCAATTGAGGTAGCTCCTGCTGTGTGTGGCCTTACAAACCCACTAATGGAGTCTTCAAAGACAGGGCAAGTGCAGAGGCAATGACAGTGGCTCTGGACCTGCAAAGCACTCTTTTACCAGGACGATGTCTGGAAAGCACAATAAGCAGAACCCAGTGCACCGAAGGCCACTTTTAGGCTAGCCCCCCAACTAGACCACTAGATGGGTCCAGACATGGTATTCCAAAAGTTTGAGGACAACCGCTATGGATAGCAGCAGTCAGAGACAACATTCCAGTAGCAATGAGAAGAGTCTTGATTGAAGAAAAAAACAGTAGCAAAAAATAGGTTACTCATCAACACAGCAGAGCTAAGGAAAGGGCATCCATTCTACAACACCATAAAAATTAGATATGCTGGTATTAGGAGGGGTTATTCTGGGCTAGCCTACAGTTATTTTTGTTTTCCAGTGTCCAATTATCCGGTTGGCTGCAGTATTACCCGAAGATTTAAGTCTTCCTGTGTCCCAATGGAAGACAAAAAAAAAGAACAAATTACCAAATACCTACCATACCCCTGTAATCTTACTTTAGAACCCTTCCTATGTAAATTGTTACGCATTAGTACTTATGTGAAAGGGATTATGGCAATTACAGACAGGAGGTGGCTCTGCCTGATCATTGATCCTCACCTTTTTGCAGAGGCATTCAGGCTGATTCACTATAGGGATTGAGAACCTTTGCTAAAAAAACTTTGTGAATATTCATGTGGAAAGCAAATTCCTGTTCACTTTGAATACCCAACAATGTGAACATTTTTTTTTCACATGATTGGATAATTGTAGTGAATATTCACTTTTTTTTTTAATAAAGATACTTAACTCCTTTAGTAAATCCCCCTCAATGCCTAAGCAACAATTTGATGACTGGCAGCAGTTCCACTATACAATAGTTAAAAAAAAACCAAAAAAGCTATTTTAAGCTTTTCATACTTTCACTTGGGTGATTATAAAATGTTTTACTTTATATTACAGTATAGGTCTTGCTTTCACCCACATCACAGGGACTGCTTAGAACTACATTTCAAAGCACTGTGATTCATAAATCAAGAGATTAAACCAATTTTTCTTTTCAGAACCGTATGCATGAATCCCTTCACCTGTTCAACAGCATTTGCAATCACAAGTTCTTTGCTGCAACCTCAATCGTTCTTTTCCTGAACAAGAAGGATCTATTTGAGCAGAAAATCAAAAAAGTTCATTTAAGCATCTGTTTCCCGGACTATGATGGTAGGAAACAAAAGCATACGTAATAGATAAATTCAGGTCATCTGCAATATAAACATGAATTCCTAGTAACTTGATTATTCTTTTGTAGGTAATAACTCATATGACGATGCAGGAAATTATATTAAATTACAGTTCCTTGATTTAAACATGCGGAAAGATACCAAGGAGATCTACGCTCACATGACCTGTGCCACAGACACACAAAATGTTAAATTTGTGTTTGATGCTGTGACTGATATCGTCATCAAGGAGACGCTTAAAGACTGTGGACTGTTTTAAAGTACATGGCAGATCCTTGAGTCACGTTTACCAAGACCTTATTCTTATGCTTCCAGTTGATGTTTCTTTCCTGAAAGTTCTGGAACAACATGGTTAAGAAAGGGAGGGGGGTGTTCTTCAGTCAGTCTGAAGATTTTGGAGTAGGTGTTGACATTTATATATTTAATATCTGGTAGTTGAAAGGTTTCCTTGTAGACAGGCAAGCTGTTACTCCTAGCAACACTGCATCTACATTGCTTGGGAAGAATCATTATTGTATCTTTATTTCCTGTTAGAGAGCAGTGACCTATTATGCAGCACTTTACAGATTACTTACAACCATTGATATCATACCCTGGTTGTCAAAAGAACAGACAATCTAAAGTCCCCAAAGCAAGTTGATCAGACACCTATTACCCTGCTGGTATATTTTGGAGTTGTGGTAGAAGCCCACATAAATACATGAAGTAATAAAACTCAGTATTGATCAAGTTCAGGGAAGTAGTCAAACCCAGGACTTCAGTGGTGCGAGGCAAAAAAAACCCCTCCAAAAACAGCTACATCGCAATCATCTGTTACAGAGCTGAACATTACACTGTTAATAAATATTACTGTTGAGGCAGGTTATATTAGCATTGATGGACTAACTGAATGAAACACGCCTGACCACAAACTAAATGAAAAATTATTTAGAGGACTGTTTTGGCTCTGTTACAATGACAGTGGGGTACTGTAGGCAGACTCTTAAGACAGAGAGAAATGTCAAACTCAACGATCCAATAACGTTGCAGTGACCAGTACAGCCCATTTCATCAAGATGATTTCCAGGCAAACAGTTAAAATGTGTATGTGGGGGCCTTGTTCTATGCTAAAGGTTTTGTATTTCTGTCCATCCAAACCTGACGTTTACATAGCTCTGCTAAAGCGTACAGGCAGGCTTGTAACCCGACTTCTCTCTACTGCAATAACAGTACTCCCAACAGCCATACTTTTCATTACACACAAATAGACATCAGATTCAACACTCACCGTGAATCGTCAGACCCACATTCTTAAAGGTTTATAAATGCTTGTGGTACAGCCTACCTGAAATCATCGGTAGCAACAGTAATTGCCCTGTGTTATTCTACCTAGCTCTTTAGTCCATCTCGTGCACAGCACATATCAAAAGGATTACAGCTTCAATTCACCCGGAACTTTCACCAGTCACCACAGGGGCAAAAAACATTTGTTTCCTATGTGTCCAGTTCACACCACAATGCTGGTGTGATATGCAGTGCCGTATGCAGACATGCTTCCTTTTTGTTTCTGCAACACTTTAGTCACCGCAGCGCTGCTGTGGTGTATAGACGTGATTGAAATGTCACTGACATTTCAATGAAGTTTGAGAAAGAAAAAAGGAAACAGGACATTGCATTGTTACAACGCCCTGATGCCACAGAAGGGGCACCACCAGCCTGCATGCTAAAATCCTCTAGGCATGTGTGAACATAGCCTACAACATAATACTCCTGATGAAGTCAATGACTAAACCATGTCAGTCATGCTACAGCTGGGATTTTGATAGTTTTTACCTTGTTTTAAATAAAACGGAGTTACACAAGGCTAGTTTTTTTTTTTTATTATTTGACGACGGTAGGAGGTACAAATTTCTAGGTGAACTTAAGCTGTAATTCTGCTGAGCTGTGCTGCTATGGAGCTCGACAGTTATCAAAGAGCTAAGTAGAAAGAAGAGCAGAACAGGGCAATAGCTGTTGCTACCTGGAGAACCGATGATCAAGAGGCTGTAACACAAGTGTTCATAGACCTTCAGAAACGTGGGTCTGACGTTCACGTTGATGAGTGATGAATCTGAAGTGGGTGGATGAGCTGTGGCTAGATGTCAATATATAGAAGTGCAGTGTTGATATTTGTGAATGGATTTCTCTACTTCAAATGAGCAATATAGCTAAGTCACTCCACCAACCCCCCCCCCCAGTCTATAACTGGCTGATACAAAAAAAAAGCAAACACCGACTGATGAGGTAAGCCCTCTGGTTACTCTGCTCTCTTTCAGCATGTTCCTTGTCAGCAAATGTGCATACAACAACAGAACCTTGTTGGCTTAGAGTACTGACCCTCATTCACACAATACAAGTGATTAAAAAAGGATATCAAGTCAAAATTCCTATAGGTACACCACCTGCACTACTTATTAATGAATACATAACTGCATCCATTCTTTAGGTTTATACAAGCTTGGAGCCCATCTTTAAATTTGCAGCCTAATTAAAGCTTCACAGTCTGCCGCTAGAGTTTATAAGACTTTCCCCCAGAACAAATCACGCTGTGGGGACACCTAGCGAGGGAAATAAATATCTGAAGAAATGATTGCTTATATTAAAGCAGCAATGGTCTGTTTATAGTTTAATTTGGTTCCACAAACTTCTAAAATCATGTGTATAGATGGAAGTACAATGGCAAGGGAGAAGGTTCAAAATAAAAGAAAAGCAACCAGTCTGCCAGGGTTGGTTACATGTCAAGTAATGTATATGCTGTAAAAGGTGAATAAATAATGAAATATATAGATTGCATGTCTTACCAATTTAATACTGTATACAAATGAGTGCAAAGCAACAGAAGAGTGTGTATGTGTCATACAAAACAAAAACTGCAGTATAAAAATAATGAATGTCAGATGTGTACAGTGAAGGTAGGACAAGCTGGTCTGTACACAAAAGGAAATGTTAGACAAATCTTATTAAGCTTCGACTTTGAGGTTTGGCTCTAGAGTAAAAGGAGGACATTTCAGAAAGAGGATTTGGTTATGAATATAGTACAAGTAAATAAGCAGTAGTGAGGGCACCACAACCATAGGTGAAGAGTCTAGGATGGCGTCTAAGATCTTCAGCAGAATAAAAATGGGTTTGAATCCTGCTGCTGCTTTTTGCAGTACTTAGCTCATTGATGGTGGTTAAAATCTTACCATGTAGATATCACAATTATGATTGTAATCCAGTTGATCTCAGTCATATTTTAGTTGATACAAGACCCATGCCCCGACGAAAGGGAGTTCAACCCCTGAAAGATGTTGGCTTTTTAAAATTCTACTGAATATCTTATAAAATAACCATCTTGGCCTCTTTTGACCTATGGGTGTGGCACTCTCATTACTACCTCTATAGTTGGACTTTGCTCAGGACCCCACCTTCCCTGGGGGTATTGATACATGTCAGCAATGTTACCAAAGCGGGTCAGCTTGATCAATGAAAGGGCCTTTCCCAATAATAGTGGATATTATTAATATGTGATCTAGCGCCTTTTGTGCATGTACTTCATTGATAAATATGACAGTTACGTGCATTGTCAGCTGACAAAGTAAACCCATCTTAAGGGAAATATCAGAGCGGTCATCACGGACTTCGTTCTGAAAATGATAGTTGATGGTTATGCTGAGCCTCTGGCTTTAATACTTTCTTAGTCATGGATGTAAAGTATGCAATTTTAAGTCAGAAGAAAGTCTTCATCTGTATGCTTGTTCAGATATTTAAAGTACTGAAGCAAGAGGGTCGGCATGGCTGGGAGGCAAAAAAAAAGATTATAAAGAGTAACTTATTCTGAATGGAAGGCACATGATGCTCTGTAATACATAGCTCCCACAGTTCTAAAGCCATACATTCTCTGAAAAAAGGCACCCCCAGTTCCCTGTATGCTGGTTCCACCCTCAGGCACATTTCCTGAGCACCCAGAAACCCAGGTAATATTACACTACTACTGACCGGCTTCCTTGGTCACTGCTCTGGACACACCTCACCCTACTGCACGTGGACTACTACTGGCCATTCAACAGTGATAAGTGGCCTCACTGGCCAATAGCAATATGTATTAAGTGGAAGATGGGAGATGACAGTTAGTGACCAGGAAGCTGGTCAGCAATTGCATTACAGTGCAGCCTGGGTTTCAGGATACCAGGAGCTAGGTAAGGAAATGAAGCAAGCATTCAAGGAGCTGGAAGTGCCTAGTCAACAAAAGGCATTTTAGCTTTTTGCCACAAGTTCACCTTGAACAAATGAAAACAAAAGAATAAAAATATATTTGATAATAAAACACCCTCTCAAGTAGACTATGGAAAACCCTATCTAACAAAATGGAGTGAATAATTGCATCAAGTAAAGTAGTTGCAGCAGGACAGTCACCATTCATATGAAGAGTGGTTATAGTATAAGAGCACAAAAAACAGTTACCAAGACTTGACAAGGACAAGTATGGTTGACCATCTCCTCTGTTGGCAATGAAAGTTATACATACATCTTAGTACAAAAAAAAAAAGGTTCTTAAGTGAACAGTTATATGAAACACTGGGAATGTTAAACGTCACAAAGCAGAAATGATAATCATGACATGTTTTAGAAATACAGTGTCCCAAAGGTCACTGACATAACACTACTGTTTCTTCAAATACAGTAATCAAGAGCAGCCCACTTGCAGAAAATATGCAACAGTCACATATCTTTCCATTGTATGCAGTTCTTGAGATATTGAGACTGGAAACATCAAAACAAGGTCAGGTGGATCACACATCCAGGCCATTAGGACTCGCATCAGGACATCTCTATATATAATACGATGGGGAGGTGGGTTCTCTGAATGCAGGCCAGGAATTGCTTTTGCATAGGGTGACCATCCCCGTAAAGTAGACTTCCAAATCAGTCAACCGTCTACCTACAAGCTAAACAAAAAAAAAGGGAAAAAAAAAAATCAATCTCAATAAGATGATCATTATATTGAATGCTTCTAAACTTCATATAGGCAGCTCATTAATTGGGGGTTGGAAAAGCTTGGTAAGTATGTGGAGTTTAAATATTGTAATAATTGACCTTAAGTTCCAGTCCAAGCTTTTCCAGGACACATTCGTTCTATACCTACATGTCATCCATAATGATGATATTTTTGGCAGGCTTTTTTATATATGTCTGTCCTTACAGCTTAGTTTGCCAGTGTCCAATTACCTGAATGCAGCTGCAAAACCCATGGTCCAAGACCAAGAGATCCTGTGTCCTAAAATATACGATTAAGACATACAACCACTGTACATTACTGCCCCAGTCCCTACAATCACTTTGGATGCTCTGAAAGGCATTTGTGTTTACTGCATTGGTGTCAAACGATCATGTAAGCAAGTAAAGGTCATTCAGAATCTTAGGCTGGATTCTTTGGTTGCTCGATGCAGTTTCCATTAAAATCAATTGAAACGTATCAAAATGCAGGTCAACGTTAGTCATGACACACATCTAGGCATCACGACACGTTTCAACTCGTGTTCACAGTGTCTCACCTTGACATTCAATACTAAATGCATTGCAACACAGGTTAACCCACGTTAATGCATGTTGTCATGAGTTGTAATGCGTTTCCATTGGTTTCAAAAGTAAAACGCATAGGTGTAAAAAGGCCCTTAGGGATCACAAACTGATGACAATGTTGCCATCATGCTAATTTGCATACCTAAAATATAGAACAGAAAATGCTGGCTGCAATTAAGGAGAAGGACTCGGAAATACTGGTGGCTTCAGAAGGGTAAAAATGTATTCTCTTGTATTCTCGGGTAACTGTATTTACAGCCCATTTCTTCTTAGCTCATACTTCATTATTTCAGAAAGAGTTTTATAGCGACAAACATATTCCCAAAAAATGTATACTTACTTTCTGTAGGTTATTCTTTGCCCGTGGATCTTTCTAGTACCATGTTCATTCATGCTGCCAGCAATGCAGAAAGAAATGGCAAGAACTGAGGAGGAAGGTGGAGGAGGACCTGTAAACATCTAAGTGACTAAGTCCAGGGACCATCGAAATTGAGGATGCACAAAGAATAGCCAAAACATAAGGCCAGCTGTGGGGCTCTGCCACCATCATAATGGGGAATGGTCCTCTTTCGAGTATTGGACATGTTGCAAAAGTTAGGGAAACAGCCCCAATGAAGAACCCAGGTGGTCAATCACAAACTAGAACTCAACTGCAAGCTGTTCACCTGGGCCCATGCAGCAAAGGGGTTAAACAGAGATAAAAGGGAAGGAATAGTAGTTAACAAAGGGCAGGAGAGCATTTATGAGCAGCGCCTGTACCACTGTACAGTGCACCCAGCAAGTTCCTCCTAGTTCCTGTAAGCATACAACTAGCAACAGTGCCCTCAGGTGACACCTCCTGAACCCAACTGTTGGAGATGCAAGTTGTCCAGGCGTATGCAGAGGTTACCAAATGTCCACCCACTCAGCAAAGTAGGGGAGTACGGTTATGTAGAGGAAGGCTTATCTGAAGATTTGACTGACTTCAGTGCAATACTTATAGGGTAGACTGGGAGCCAAGCTTGGAGGGTCACGATGAAGAGGTTGAGAAAGTGAAGAAAAAGAACATTTCTTAAATGAAAGAAAGGGGGAGGACTTCAGAGTTTGCTCCCTAGGGCTTCTTCCTCTGAGGGCCGGTTCACAACTAATCGTTGCAATAAACACACAACATCATGTAATAGTGCAGCACTTAGGTGTGAACTGGCCCTGAGGAAGATTGGTGCTCTTGCTATAAGTATCCTTGATTATAGTATAAAGAGTTTTTTCGAATAGAGACATTGTTCCTCTAAGGTCATGCGGGAAAATGCTTCTTACATGGAGCTTCCGCTTCCCAACAAAGTGCCCTATGCATGTGTACTGACAGAAGACACCAGCGAGAGATAAGCTGCGAAGCTTCTAGCAGACTGTCACAAGTAAAAAGCTAAAGCCATTTGCTTCATGCATTCTGTAATCAAGGGATCAACAGCAACAGTGGTGACATGTCTTTTAAGGGATTTTGACCAGTTAAGTGACAGATCAATGACTTAGGGCAGGTTCACACCATTTTTCGGACCAAATATGGTCCGGAAAATGGTGTGAACCTGCCCACACTTCCAGTGCATTCCAGACCAAACAAAATGAGGCATGCAGTATTTTTCTGTCCTGGAACGGACTTGCGCTGGTGTGAAGAGAGGCCAGAAATAGCATAGGGATACATTAGGATGCATTTTGGGTCCCGACACAATCTGGTCTGGTGATGATCTGGATGTAGTGTGAATGGGCCCCAAGTACTGATCCCAGTAAACAAACAATTCTATAGTTTTCAGGGGAAGATCTGCAGGCAGCTCTGGTATTTGTCTCATGACAGGTTTACTTTAAAGAGGCTGTCTTAAGTAAACCCGTCTGTAAAAACGACCTCATCAATGTTTTTACAGACCACAGTACTAGAGGCTGTCAACAGACTCCACTCAAGTTTTCTATCAGTTTAGTAAGGGACACAGGATTCAGTTATTCTGGGACAACTGGATTGTACTGCCACCTACAGGGGGAATTGGACACTGGCAAACAAAAAAAAAAGCTGTTGGCCAGAAAAGTATAACCCCTCCCACTTGCTTCAACAAGGGCTGGCATAACAGTCTTCTTGGGATGCCTTGAACTTACCAGCATGATATGGCATCAAATCAAGACTGCTAAGAAAGAAGATAGGGATCTCCACGTCTTGCTACTCAACCTGGCCAACACCTATGGATCAGTTCCTCATTCCCTACTGTGGACTGCCTTTGAATTCTTTCAGGTGCTTGTAGTAAGACCAAATGTGGTAAAACACTACTTCATGGACTTCACAAGTTTGCCTTGCAACATCAAACTAGGCAACCACTGGCGGTGGGCATTATTGCAGTCTGCACCATCTCCTTATTGGCCTTTACTACAGCAATGAAGCTGATTATCAGAGCCTCTAAATGGGTGGTGGGAGGAGAACAACTACAATTTAGTCAGTGCTTACTACCAATACAAGCCTATATGTGTGATATTATTTTATTTACTTATTACAGGTATTTATATAAAACACAAAAAAATTTACAAGTCAATTTACACACCGCTTTACATACAGAACATTCACACTAGTCCCTGCCCTCAAGGAGTTTATAATCTATGGTCCCTATTGCATGCATACATACAATGGCCAATTTAGACCGGAGGCAATTAACCTAGCAGCATGTCTTTGAAGTGCGGTAGGAAATCGGAGTACCTGGAGGAAACCCAGGAAAGCACAAACACCTTGCCGATAGCCAACCTGGATATAGCACTGGCAACTTCCCTTTGCCCCAAAAGTTTTCTGGGCAAGGAAGAGCATCAAAACTAGGGATGCACCGATACAAGCATCGGTATGGGCCGCGATACCGAGTATTTGAAAAGTATCGGTACTCGTACTCGGCCTTAAAAAAGTGGTATCGGTGCATCCCTAATCAAAACTAAGCAAGTGCAGAAGAATCTCCATTGTCAAAAGTCAAGTTAAGGAGCAAAGGTTCCGTCCTGATAGAAACCCTGATCCAGCTGTTTTAGAAATGCCAGAGAAGACCTTGGGTAGATGACACAATGCTACGCTCAAGGACACTGAACAATTGGAACAACTGAAAGGGGTAAACCATCATCATCCACCCTCAGACAGACAGCAGCATTGTCAGCCTGTGAAGGGGGTAGTGTTAGATGCACTGAAAAATTTAGATTTAGACTTGACTAGCAAATTAAATCTTAACTCCAGCCAACATTTTTTAAGCAGTTACAGCAACTATTTTTTACTTTTTGGATAAAGGTTTTACATTCATGAATAAAAGTTAATCCATTCTCAGTGTTAGGTGTTTTGTCTAATCCCTCTATCTGCCACTTTTGCTGGACAGCTGGGCCTGCTAAAGGAAGTTGAAAAGTCGACTGGCCAAATCACCAGTTTGAAATAAAAGAAAAACCCCATAAAAATAGTAAGAAATAAAAAAACTCATGCAACCACCATCTAAGAATTGGTAAGCTGCAATATATAAATGTTTTGCATTTAGGTGTATGGTGGACTGTACGAAAACAGTGAGGGAGAAGGAAGTGGATTCCATCGGAAGCTGTTGGCCAAGTTCATTATGAAGAGCCGGGCTCAGGCTCATTCCAAAAGCTCCTCAGTGGCACAAGGCAACAACAGTGCAGAAGACACGGCTTATGTTGGAGGAGATGAGAAGACTGGAGGGCCAAGGAGGGCCAATGGACTAACTGAAAGCTTTAAAAAGAGAGAAATCACATGGATTGACGAGAGATGGAGGGATCAGGGCTTCATTTTGTCATCACAGCCATTTGTGATCTCCTGCCCACACTCCAGAACCTGAAGCAGTTGTGGGAAGAAGATTCTGCTTGCTCTGTCAAGTACCTGCATCACTAAGGCACATTCTAAAAGAATGCTCTGTGAGCCTCACCCACGGCTGTTACACTTGGCAGCATAACCAGGTCTCAGACAGCTGACATTAATCTTGGGACAAAAGCAAACCACCATAAATGGTGTATCGCTCCAATCAGCCGCACAAAACCGAGTTGTAAATTCCCTCCAAGGTATTGCTCCCACTCCAACATCTCTTACGTGTTTCCCCACCTGGGCTTAATCATAGAGGTGATGATTAAGTCCTGGTAGTGAAACGCGTGAGGTGCGGAGTGGGAGAGATACTATGGTGGTGTAAATACCTTGTATTTTGAACTTTGCATGGAATTTACAACAAAAAAGTTGGATTTTTATGGGCCTCGATTTCATGCAGCTGATTGGAGAGATATTGTTTGACAAGGGGAGCACACTGCAGCCTGCACCCGATGTCTATATTGATCTGCAGTCTGGTTGGAGCGGTGAGTCTTTCCCTTTTTTGTATATCGCCATAAATGCTCTTGCAAATTTTGGCGTGAATAGCTCATCAGCTGACCAGTCTCCATACAGAAGAGGTGCAGGTGAGCATGCGTTTTAATAGTCTGGAAGCCTCTCAGACATTCCAGACTGGTAACAGTACTAGTTTTAGTGGCAGTCTGTTCCAGTTTCATGTTGGCTTGCACTGAGTCAATAACATTATTTCTAATAAGAAGCCTGATTGAGGCTTCTTGGGAACAAACTCAAACAGAACACATTTATGAGACTCTTAATCCAACAGCACAGAGGTTGCTACAGCTGCAGGAATGTCAGATAGAGATTCTGGGGAGAAAGGTGTATGCTTACAGCCTCAGCATTCTGAGTCAGAAATCACAGTTGCAATTCAACACATAAGATGCACCACAGCTGTACAGGATTCCTACCTGAAAAAGGAAGAGTGGGCGCCTACTACTCATAGTAGACAAGAGACTCTGAGTAGTGTGGGGGCTCAAGTAGGGTACAAGGCTGCATTCCTAGACTGAGGCAACTTACTTTAAGACACCAAGACAAAACATTGGTTACTCACAAACCAGCTGCTGAGAGCAGGACAGGTTCGAAGGCTGGAGGTGATTAGGTCACTGTATACAATTAACAGTATCATTAATGTAGCAGTTCCCAATCCTCAGCTACATGGAGTTCTTCAGGAATTAGCACAGCCCTGCACCTGGAGAGTGCTAGGAGGCCAACACAAGGGCCCGGAAAGCACCACAAACAAAGCCCAATAACAAAATGTTACATTGCAGGTTATATTCTTCTCATCCTTGGGCATACTCACAAAGCGAGTCTTCAAAGACTGGGACACATCAGAGGCTGTGCCACAGCTCTGGTTCCGCAAAGCGCTCTGCAGCTAACACAGCACACATAGGTCTGTAAAGCACCACAAGCAGAGAACAATGCCTGAAGGACACATTCCAGGCAAGCGCTACAATTTCCAATCCAGCAGGGTCCGGGTACAGCCTCCAAAGGATATTACTGAGGAAACCTTGATCTAGAAAGCTGCAAAAAAGCTGAGCTCAGCAGGAAGCAAATTGATTCTAACAAAGCAAAAAAGATCTTGTAAAAAATTAAATTGTAGTGTTTCTCATTAAAGAAAAGAGCATCCATTCTCCTAGGACACCAGCAAAAAGAGAAGCAGTAGAAGGGGTTATACCTGGCTGACCAAAAGCTTCTTTTTTGCCAGTGTTCAATAATTTCCGAATAACAGATTTCTATGTCCCTTGATGAATGAGAAACAATGTTGCACAATACTTGTGATTTATTTTACTAGACTAAGCATCAACAGCTTATTACCAATGAAGTCTTTATTTTACATTTCTGTGATGCACAAAAACTCCCCCAAAAACCTTTTTTTTTTTAAAAGTGGGCAATAGTTAAAAGGTGCTGTGAATAATTTTATCTGGGAGTGTGTAATAGTCCTTTACCTTCAACTGGAGCACAAGAACGCGCATGCACAGGATTTCTGAATGAGAGTGCTGAGCAGTCTGCGGGCCGATCACGTGGGCGCTGTACACAGGAGACGTGGGCAGATCCCGGAGAGCGGTGTCTGACCAGCTGGCCGAGGGACTGGTACGGTAATGAATGCTGCTAATGATCTATGTGAGGGAAATGAGGTGCCTGCAGGGTGGGGGTCGTGTCACCATATTGTCAGATCTGTTTGGCCGGCCTCGATGCCGGCCAATCAGCACCCAGCTGGCCAAACAGAATGGTGTCGGCTTCCTGGGCAATCAAGAAGCCGGGCGGTGGGTAATGACACGCCGCCTGGCTTCCCGATTGCCCGGGAAGCCGGCTCTATGCTACCGGAAGTACCGAAATATAAATATCGGTGCTCGTACTCGATACCGAAAAACCGGTATTGGTGTATCCCTAATTTGTACCATGTATTTTTTCTGGATTTTTGGTTGATATTCTGTCTCTATCATATAAAATACACCTATGATACAAATTATATACACCTTTAATTTCTTTGTAAGTGGGCAAACTTACAAAATCTGCAGGGGATCAAATAATTATTTTCCACATTGTGTTAGATTAACAAAGTGTGTATTCCAAGCATACAGCTTATCTTACCTCCAGATTAATACAGGCCACACTCAACAAGGTTGCTCTTTATGATCACATCGGTGACTGCATCAAACACAAACTGGACATTCTTTGTATCTGTTGCACACGTGAAGTGTGTGTAAATCTCCTTTGAGCCCTTTCTTCTGTTTAGGTCCTCAAACTGACATTGGATATAAGCTGCAGCTTCTTCATAAGAATTAGCACCTGAAAAAAGTGAGTTTTACAGGAAAAGGTATTAGACAATTCCAAATCTCATGGAAGGCTGGATGGGCAGCACCCACCATTTTCACCCCACCAGGGGGATGTCCTGTTGATCATATACCTGAGTATTCTGGATAGCAGATGGTCAGTGGACTCCTAGTTATCTTCTCCTCAAACAAATCCTTTTTATTTAAGAAGAGAATTATGGAGGTTTCAATAAACCATTTGTTGTTGCAAATGCTGTCAAACAGCTTCATACTTTCATGCATACGGTTCTGTAAAAGGAAGAATAGTGAGACTATTTGTGAAATCAGCAATTTAGGCATAAACCAAAACCTACAAAATAATGTACCCAGTTTTTTTCATGACAAATTAGGTCACCTGATAAAGCGGAAGTAAACCTAAAATAAAAAAAAACCCGCAAAAACTGTTAGAAATTAATATTTTTGTAATGTCAGAATAGACACGCCAAGTCTTCTCTGACAAAAAACTGCCGTTTCTAACATCTAACAGTTTTTTTTTCTCTCTAGTGTACGCTGTTCGGTGCATGCACTGTACAGTGTACTACCCTGGGTCCTTCCTAGCATCTGCAGTGTGCCAGGAATCAAGCTGGTTGCCGAGGACGACGTAACTCCTCTGCGCATGCGCAGAAGTTACATCATCACAAGCAGTCCAATGAATGAAGAAAATTATGGGGACTGGAAGAAGCAGAGGAGGATATTGCAGTAGCAGTGGACAAAGTAGCAGCTGACATAGTACAACACCAATTCCAAAAAAGTTGGGATGAGAAAATATACATTAAAAACAGAATGCAATGATTTGCAAATCTCGATAACCAATATTTTATTCACAAGACAAAATAGAAGACATGTAAAATAGAAAAATTGTACAATTTTACATTTAAAAAAAAAAGATCATTGAAATTGATGACAGCAACACACCTCAAAAAAGTTGGGACAGGGCAACAAAAAGCTGGCAAAGTAAGTGGTACTAACAAGGAAAAGCTGGAAGAACATTCTGCAACTAATAATTGGCAACAGGCCAGTAACATGATTGGATACAAAAAGAGCATCTTAGAGAGTCAGAGTGCCTCAGAAGTAGAGGTGGGCAGAGGTTCACCAATCTGTGAAAAGCTGCATCTAAAAATTGTCAAACAATTTCAGAATAATGTTCCTCAACGAAAACTTCAAATATATCATCTAGAGTACATTTATTATCTAATATACTACATTACAGAATCTGGAGAAAATCTATGTGCGCAAAAGGGCAAGGCCGAAACGCAATATTGGATGCCCTTGATCTTCAGGCCCTTAGACGGCACTGTTACAAACAGGCATGATTCTGTGAACATCACTGCATGGGCTCAGGAATACTTTTAAAAAAAATCACTGTCTGTGAACACAGTTTGCTGTGCCATCCAAAAATGCAAGTTAAAGCTCTAATATGCAAAGAAGAAGCCATATATGAACCCGATGCAAAAAAACTGCCGTCTTCTCTGGGCCAAAGCTCATTTAAAATGGTCTGTCACAAAGTGGAAAACTGTTCTGTGGTCACACGAATGGAAATTTGACATTCTTTTTGGCAACCATGGGCAACGCGTCCTCCAGACTAAAGAGGAGAGGGACCTTCCAGCTATTTATCAGTGCTCAGTTTAAAAGCCTCAGAACAAAAAACCATAAGCGCACAACTGATACTTAGTCACTGGAAAAATCACGGGCTATGAATTATTGTGTGCAGGCTCTCACTGACAGGGAGAGAACCCTGCAAATTCGAATGGTAAACAGAAACAAACAAAAAAGAGCGCTACTACCCGATATTGAATGGCATCTATTCATGAGAGAAAGAACAAATATGTGTAACTTACAGTTGGAAGTCTGCAAATGTGTCGAGGATGGTGAAGCAATGACCGGTGTACAGAGGAAGTCCAAAGCCGAATGCTGCAGCAGTGGATGGATGAGGGGGCGCTGTGAAGTTTCCTAGCGGCACGCGTGCACGGCTGGCCAGGCCGGGCCACGGCGGCTAAGGGGGGAAGGACCGCGGCGGTTGTGGAACCGGGACCGCGAGCGGCTGTGTTCGGTGCGTGTATAGTGGAGTCAGATCAGTGGGCAAAGTATCGACAGGGCGTCTGAGTGGGTGGACGCTGTGCACAGACAGGCTCGCTATATCGTGATGACTACGCGTTTCGAGGCACAACCTCTTTGTCAAGTCTTAGGGCAAAGATGTCTAAAAGCCTGCATCTGCAGTTTAAAAGCCTGCATCTCTTATGGTATGGGGGTGCATTAGTTCATATGGAATGGGCAGCTTGCACATATGGAAAGGCACCATCAATGCTGAACGATATAGTTAGGCTTTAACTGCCTCCGGGCCGGCCGTAGTAAAAAAAAAACGGCCGGCCGGGAGCTCTCTAGATCTGAGCGGGCGACCGCTCAGACACGCCCCCTCGCGCGTGGGAAATGGCCGGTATTTAAAAACAGGCAGCGATGCCTGTTACCAGGGATCATGTGTATGGGGTACCGATCGGTTGCCCCCCTCGCCGTTGTCCCGCTGATCCCGGGATCACCGGGAGCTCGGTACACGAGCTCCCTCCGGTCCACTCTCCTCTGCAAGAATGCGGAAGTGTTGTATAATACGTCACTTCCGCATTCTTGTGTCACTCTCCAGCTTCAGAAGCTGGAAAGAAGCTGATGGAGCAGATCTGTGCTTCATCAGCTTCTTTTGGGGGGTCCTAGGTGACATTAGGCAGGGGTGTGGAAATTTTGGAAAAAACTACTTGTCCAAGAACTAAAGCGGGGGCCGAATCTACTTGTCGCTCATGAAAATCTTCTTGTCCTGATACAAAAAAATAATTTTAACCAAAACTGTATTTAGCAGTGCTAAGAAGCGCTTCCCATTGGTCAGTGCCGTCAGTTGACTGCATTGACCAACGAGTGCCTGCAATTTGCGAGCGAAATTCAGAATACATGGAACAGGTACAGATAGTACACCCGTACTGGTGGACGGGAAGGACCGTTCGCCGAAAGGTAAGTCTAGTGGGAGGGAGATGTGTGCGGGTAATTCCCAAATTACTTGGGAAAGTGAATATATCCTTTAGGGTTGGTGCAGACTTGGGAATTCCCAGGATGTGCAATCGTGTGCGGTTGCATACAGCGGTTGCATCCGCATGTATGGGGTTACATCTGCGTGGCAATCGCTGAAAAAAAGGTAGATGTACCTATTTTTACAACATGCACCGCGCACTGTTTTCAACCGTGATCGCCTGCGGCGGTAGTGCAGCAGGAAAAACGCGCAATCTGCTTGGCACGACAGGGGTGCCATTAGAAAATAATGGCACTGACAGCACGATCGGCGGTGGTGTGGGATTCCGTGACCACCCAGCCATCCGCTTGGTTTCGTGCACGATGACCGTGCAGTCACGGAGCGCACACCACTGCCGATCGCGCTGGCAGTGCCATTATTTTCTAATGGCACCCCAGTCATGCCCGGCAGATTGCGCGTTTTCCTGCTGCAATACCGCCCTGCCCGTGCGGTTGCACACGATTGCAGTTGAAAACACTGCGCATTTATTCGCGTGCAGATGGGGCAATGGGGCTGGTTTTAATTTTTTCTATTTTTATTTACTTTGTAAAAAATTTTCATTTGTTTTATTATTTTTACTTAATTGCCTTTTTATTTTTTACATTTTTAATATTTTGTACTTTTTCTTTTTAATTTTTTTTTTTTTTTAAACTCAACTGTATTGCGATCACACAGGGAATAATAACCCCCTGTGTGATAGCATTTGGAGGTGACAGGTACTCTTTATTGACCCTGTCACCTCCAACACAGGAGTTCTAGCACAGCACTGTTGCTAGAACTCCTGTGACAGGAACAAGCAGCGGCCGCCGTGGACAGAGGCTGGGGGAGGCTACAGAGCCGGTCACTGATCCACCGTCCGGCTTTGTCACTGCTCTGTCACGGCTCCACGCCCCTCGCTCCGTCACGGCTCCACCCCCTCGCTCCGTCACAACGCTCCACGCCCTCTGCTCCGTCCCCAGCAGCTCTCAGCGCTTCGTCCCCGCCCCTCGCTCTCCACGCCCCCCGCTGGCAGCGCCGCTCTCGGCGCTCAAAGAAAACCAGCCCTGCTACTTGTCCGTAGCAGGGCTAAAACAGTGCAAAAACCACTTGCCCGGCGCCCGGAACTACATGTCCCGGGCGATACGAATTCCACACCCCTGCATTAGGGGGTCTTGGAGACCCCTCATGTCTCCATAAAGAGGACCTGTCACATATTTTGCTATCACATAG